AGGAATTGTGATTATGGTTCTTAAATGGATAGGAGTTTGTTTTCATAACCACAAACTTGAGGTTGCCAATATTGTTTTAAAAACATTATGGAGAATATTAAATTTACTTTGAATGTTTAAGAAGGGTCATGCGTAGGATACTAATTGAGAGCGATATACTTAGTTTATCTTATTTCCTTAAGGGCTTAGTGGGCTACTCTTAAACTCTCTAAAGTATTAACAATCGAGAATCTCTTAGTTGAATGTTAAGTTAATGGTTGACTTGTATTGCACACCTTAATTAGAAATTGAGGTCAATTTACGGAAGTGAACTTATAGGAGTTTCATGTGACTCTCGATATTGTTGGATTGAAGATTAGAGAGGTTTAAAAGCTCGGGGTCAGATATAACAAACAATCATGGAAATAAGGAAGATATCCAAAGTTTGATGTGAACCTCTATTATTCTATAGGATCTTTTAATGTTATTGAAGTTGTGTTGGAGGAATAAGAAATTCTTTTTCATGCATCTTTAATACATTATTAAGATATAGGTTTGATTAATTATACTGAAGGATTGTTGGTGCGAGTATTGAAGATTCAAACATTATGGTTAGTGGTGATAATTGGAGGGTTGTAATTTGAGGAATTCATGATGATACCCATGGAGATTGGCTTTGACATGTTTGTAGAAACTTTATGTAATTTTTTTTAAATGACTATGGTTATCCTACTAATTTGTAGATTGTTATTATCATGAGGATTGTGAATAATTACTAAGGCTATGATGACTAATGTAATTAAATTGAAGAACATTCAGTGAATCATTGGGAGTCTTGTCTTAGTTTTGATTATATCATAAGAAGTCTAGTGATAGGGAATTGAGAAATATTTTGGGATCTATCTTCTCATGTTGGTATGTTAGAAGATTTATATTGTAATGGATTGTATCATAGATATTCGAAAGTATAGGTATTGTGAAAAGAGTTGTGATGTTAATGAAAGCCACTAAGAANGCATGGAACTGGAGATGTCATAGCCAAATGACAATTAGATACACTAACTCGACGATTAAGTTTCGAGGACGAAAGTTTCTTTAAGGGGGGTGGATTGTAAATCCCCATATGTTTATATTAATAAAATGATATAATTTTTTAGTAATTCTAATATATATAATGATGTAAGAATGAACTACATAGACTATAACAATAAAAATAAATATTTGGGAGACAAATGGATTGTTAACTTTAAGTTTCGAAGGTGTTTAAACTTGGAAGAGGTTGTAGGTGAGTTTCTAAATACTTTTATGTCAAAATAAGATGTCCATTGAATCTGGAAAATTGAGAAACATTGGGAGAGGTAATATGGGTTGTAATAAAGTTAGGAAGTATCCCGGAATTAAAGCACACTTCGGAGAGAATTTGGGTAAAAAACAAAGATTTTTGGACACTTCCTAGTATTTGGATCATAACTCTTTATCCTGATGTCTATTTGATCTGAACGTTTGACAGTAGATAGTAGACTTCTAGAACTACAAAAGTGTATTTCATGAAAAATTTCCAAATCGACCTCTAAATATGCCAAAACTGCACTGGAAGTTCCAGCAGAAACATAAATGACGTTCGAACGTGAATTATGTTCGAACGACAGTGCGTTCCAGTACTTTNTGAAGCTATAATTGGAGGATAAATGTGGTTAGGTTTCAGTTGTACACTTTGGCAGAATTTGACATATATCTTGTGGCTATTAGAGTGCGCAGCTAGCTATTTGATTAATGACTACAATGGTGAAGGTAAGGAGTATNATTCGAACGTCAGTTACGATATGTGACTCTAAAAATCTCGCATAAGACATTATTTTCTTCCTATATAAATACCTAAGGACACCTCCCTAAGCCCCATTTCAACATTTCTAACCCTAGAAAACCTTAGAGAGAAAGAAAGAAAGGGAAAAGCAANTAATTACAAATTGATGAATAACATAAGGGATGATCTTAGAATATTAACTTATGTGGGAGTGTGTGGTTGTGAATTAAAATTATTGTAGATTTCAAAGATTGTGAATTCCTNCCTTAGAGAGAAAGAAAGAAAGGGAAAAGCAAAGGATTAAAGGGTGATTCAAGTTTGAGAAAGATCAAATCTTCATCTTTTTCGCTCAAAACTAAGGAAGCAAGGTAGGGAGTTTTCTTCCATTCTTGTCCATTGATGCTAGGGCTAATATATATGTATTCTTTGACTCTAAATCTTATATATTTGCTATGAATCATCTTTTCTTGTTCTTCCTGTAATTATTACCATGTTTTAAACAAAGTTAGGGTTGAATACCCATGAAATCTCTTTTTCNTGCTACATGTAAGGAACAAATATAATGTTCTATTGACATGATTGGTGAAATTCAAAGGAAAAGTGATATTGGATGAGTACACAATTAAGTATTGTGATCTAGTAGTTATGCATGATAAGGAATTAGTTGGAAAAATCGTATACAATTATTGAGAATAGAGGTGACAAATGGGTTCTAGTGAAGGAATGTAATCTTCAGGACCTTAAATAGCTGCAATGTTGTTATAAGTGGAAAAGATAGATATAAAATTTATGATATGATATTATGTTTTAACCTTGGCTTTGATGTTTANCTTGTGCTCTTGGAAATACCCATGGAATTGGGGGTTTTGGAAATTTTTGGTTATTGATGGAATTGTTGATATTGTATCTCTTGTGTGGTTGTTTGGATAAACATGGGCTATGATTGACCGGGTATTATGGAGTGGGTAGACGTCTTCTTACTCCGTGCGGGTTTGTACATATCCTACCACTCGTAGTGGGGTTGGTGCCTTGCNTATAGAATGGGTAGATGCCTTCTTACTCCGTATGGGTTACAACTTTTCCTACCACTCGTAATGGGGTTAGTGCTTTGCGAGGACTAAACCATTATCGCTTATGGGTTATCGTGAAAAAATGGGGCTAGTATACTACTCTTTGGTTGGATACATCACTGTCATGGTGTTGGCATACGCCCTTCCTTAAGATTGGATATCCTTGCGAAGATTTGTATGGGTTGTACGTGGGTCATGACATTTTTTATGGTATCCATGCGAGGTCTTCATACCAGAGATATGAATATTGTGGTAGGTTATCGTTCATTGTACCATAAATGGTTTCTACAAGAATCTTGGGATGTATGAGATTCCGTAAGAACTTGGGAGAAACAGTTTATGGTGAAATGGATTATTAGTCATATATTACAGTGGTGGGTTATTGTTCATTGTACCAGGAATGGTTTCTACAAGAATCTTGGAAAGTATGGAATTCCGCAAAAACTTGAGAGAAACGATTTACGATGGAATGGATTATTAGTTGAATATTGGTTTCACTTATACATTAAATTAATGTTGTTGCTTAAACTTGAGATCTGTTTAATTGTCCCTGTTTTATTTCAAAATTCATATATGCTATTTGTGAAAGGTGACCGACCATTTTTATATGTTTTTCTAAACCTTGTTCGAGTATGGGAGAAATGTTGCTACAGAGCTTAGTGCTCACCCCCTACAAATAATATTTTTCAGATTATGTCCTAGAGGAGAAGTTGGGAGTGGATGAACCGGCACATTGGGAGACTCCTATAGAAGGGAACATGGATCCCGAGGTGGACACTTAAAGCAATATTATCTTTGTTCTAGACTAGGAAAATCATTTTTGAAATATTTTGAAGTCTAGTCTTCTTTTGTAATTCCGCTGCATTATGATAGGTAAATTTTTGGGATGTAAATGCCATGGTTCGGCATATCAATTTGGGTAATGTTGTAAATATTTTATGGAGGATGAATGAAGTCCCATTTATTTATGGATGATATTAGTGCTCTGATGATATGAATGGTTTTAAATTGTAATGTCATCCAAGGTGGTTTTAGGGTCGTTACAGGTATAGCAAGTAAGGCTCGATTCGCCCTTAGGTGCAAGACCCGATTACTTGGTTCATACACTCCGCTATGGTAAAATTTCGAAAAAGTATATCGGTGTGCGGAACCGGCGGTGCAACACAAAAATTCTGCTACCCAACAAAGAAAAATGGTTTTGTTTTATAAAATAGTCATTCGATGTGTAACATCCAACAAAGACTCATGATTTTGTTTTATAACAAAGACACATGGTTTATTTTAAAAATATCATTGGACATATATCATCAATGGCGGATTTATACACATTGGTATTGCATTGTGTTGTGGGGGCTGGAGAGGGCTCTGGTTGAAGTGCATGAGTGAGTCTCATCTCATTTCATGGCATGACATGATGATTTCCAACATTGAGTTGCATATTCTTGATTGAAATGGTTGTTTCTTGTGGAATGTTGCATGTGGACATTTCATATGCATTTAGGTTGGCGAGTGACCTCTTTAGGAGATACCCTACTGAGCGTGGCTCACCCTTTATGGGAAAATATTTTAGGTGCGGGCTATACATCAGTGGAGGGCTCGTATTTGGGGCCTCAAGGATGAAGATAAGCCGACTTGTGGTTTTTAAATTCACGTTTTGTAAAATTATTGTGAAAAAAACTATGCTTTTGTAAAAATTTTGCTAAGTTAATTTTTGGGCATGTAATGTATGTAAAAGAATTGTAATCGCACACATATGGACTATTTTTAATGTAACATTGCATGTTGTTATATGAGTATGGATAAATGGACCCGGTGTGGTCAAAATTTACTTATAAATGGACCTGGTGTGGTCAATGTTTACTCATTAATGGACCTGATGTACTTAATGTTGTATGATTGCACATGTAGTGTTATGGGTAGGGCTCCCTATACAAAGGAGACTCTGTTCGAATTTTGCTAAATTATGGACCCGTGTAAATTGCGCATAATGACGTGGTATCGAGTTGCACGATATCCACGGGTATTCTGCGGGTTGATGGGTGATCAACAGGTTGACAAAGGACCCCCAATTTTTGGGGCGTCACAACATGCTTCTGAACAATACACCCCAACTCTATGATAAGTGGTTGGCATTCCAATCCTACTATTCACCCAAGCTCTTCAAGCATCTCTACATTAAGCTTCTCGTCGGCTTGCTTTTTTTTGGCAAGCGCAATATTTTGGGTTGGTCCCCATTTCCTCCTCATTGAGGATGACTCTAAAGAGAAAGTGTGAATAATGTTGGTAGATGATTTTGTTGAGAACATAAACGCCTGCAATTCAAGAAAAAATTAAAAATGCAGCTTCTATAAGTCAATATTTTGAACAATATTTAACATAATTGTATTAAACAAACATACCAACATTATGTTCAACATGTCCCTCTTGCAAAAGAACAGTATGCACACTTGTGGAATAATGAGACTTTTGTGCAAGTGGCAATGTACCACCATTAGCACGACCCTGTGTTTTTTCTAAGATGCTAATGAACCCGACCCAGAAGCAATAAGGATAATTGTCTTCCACCACACCTTGCAGCTCCTTGTTTCCCCGATCCGGCCATCTGTGTGCAATGAAACAACAAGATAATACAATAAATGAATATCAATTGTTTAAATACCAATGGTTATGCACAAATATGTGTGTATAAAATGGAAATACAAGTATTGCAACAGTGTAATACTGCAAGAATCTCCTTCGATATCACTTATATTAATGAAGTTGTCATCTTCTTCATCTACATTTTCCATTGATTGGTCACGCAATATATTATCTACATCAATACGTCCTAATGGGATCATATCATCTCTTTCTATTGATGGCATTTCATCAATTTCCATTGAATCAAAAACCTTGTCAGGCACATGTTCTTAGTAAGGCTCCTCACCAAAAATTGATTGTTCTTCAAACTATACAAGAACATCAAAAGACCCACGAGGTTGATTTCTCTCTATAACGCTCCAATTTTTCCCTAATTTCAAATCTTCAATATAAAAAACTTGTTTTGCTTGAGAGTCAAGCACAAATTGTTGGTCCTTACTGTTGGAACGAAAATCCCAAAAATCATTGACAACATATAAAACTTTTTATTTAAAACCCTACAAGGCGAAATTAGGGTTTACCTTCAAGATCACTCTGGATTGATATCATTTCAGCATGAATGTAGAAACTAACAACAAACTTGGAAGATAGCTCGTTGAACCTCACAGCCTTCTGTCGTATATCTCCAACGTCAAAATCTGGATGCAATGTGGGCTGCAAGAACCTCCGAACTTCTCCTCTCTCTCTTAGCCTCTCTAAAAAACATGAGTGATGAATTGATGCTAATTTAGAGAGTTTACATGTCTATATATAAGCTACGACAGAAAATCTAAGGAGAAATAAGGACTGGACTTCCAATGAGCCTAGGATTCCTATGTTCAACCTCGAACAAACATCCTACAACCAATTAATAATAAGTTAGTTCATTAAAAACTTATTATTGATTTCCTGAACCTTATCTCAAAATTATATTCTAACTCATTATTATATACTTTATAATCTCCTCACATTTAAAATTACAGATATCCATCAATTAAATAAATCATTGAGAATTATTTATTATTTTTTTCCTTGAGACCTTAACAGTTAACTTATTTGTTATGTCGGATAATTAAATACACCTGCAGGGTTTGACATGGACAAAAGTTATGAGTTTTCTCAAGAGGACATCATCAACCCATTTAAATATCAGGATGTAGTTTCTTTTAATAATTAATTTTTACCATACAAATAATATCGTCTCTCAATTCATCGAGCTTATTGATTCAACATGAATCTCACTTTTTGATGAATTTAAGTGACGAACATTATATGTATGTGACAATTAAATATCTCGGGATTAAGAGCATACACAATCATAATAATCATGATGTATTTATTATCTTATTGAATCAGTAAAAAGATAATAACCTCAACATGGGTATGTTCAATAAATAAAGTGTACTAGCGTAATAATCTGAGACATCAAACTGTCTCCTACAGTCAAGACAAACTATGCCAGAATATTAAATTACAATCATACTGATGGTGTGTCCAATTCCATCTAGGATTGTGAACATATACTCATATTACACAAGGATCCGATAATCTGGTCTTCTGTGCATAAATCAAACTCTACATACCAGATTATCTACAATGTAAAATATAAGATGCACATGCATAACATATATTAAATATAATGGAAACATTTTTCCACATAGATTCTCAATAAAATGGAAAGAACAAACTTCTATTAATCAATAAAACAAGTTTCACTACAAAAAGTAAGCTTTAGTATACAATTTTATCACTTATATCAAGTTCGTGATACATTTACACTAATAATCTTCCAATCCTTGTCTATTTGGATGCATGTACTGTCCTTTACATCCCACCAATCACACTTGAATAATATAACTCGATTCTGCCCTTCTAGATATTCTAACTCAATAACTTAAATGATCACACCATAGAAGTCTATCACCCTCCCATCATGTTCTCCCTCCACGACCACACCACTATTTTGTGTTTTCTTTATGCCTCTCATAATCTTGATTGTGGGATCTAAACCCATTTGCATTACAACCCATGTAGCGTTTCACTCGATTATCAGGACCCTTGACAAGGGACAAGAGTTCTTTGCTAGCATGCCCTTCATGGTACAATTTTTTAACCTATAGATAAAAGTGAAAATTTTCAATAGAACCCTAGCCAAATAATCAAACACACATTGTTTTGATAATAGCAACAAAAATAGGTAGACTTCAAAGTGCAATTACATGTTGTTCGAACCATTTAGGAAACCGCAGGTTATGCCTTTGATTGACATTCCTTGTACTTGCAACTTTTAGAATTTCCTTATGCTCACTATACATTAATTATATATCATTATATCACAAAATTATCTAATACCAAGGCATAAATCTAATGAACAAACATTAAAATTTTAAGTACAATTATTTAGAAAATTAAACTTACTTTACAAAATCTTGAACCTCTTCACAATTATTCCATACATAATTTCTAGCTTTTTCCCACTCAATATTATTCAACTCGGCATATATGGTCCCACCAAATGCATGACCATTATATGCAAATACAAACAACTTGCTCAAATTTTCACCTCCATTATAGTTCCGTTCAACTCGATTGAATCTCATCTCAACATTACCCAAGTGCAAAGAACAAAAATTCAAGCATTCATTGTCAATGTAATGCTTAACAATCGACTCTTCTGTCCAAGCCTTACTACGTACATATCCCTTTAGTTTCCCCATTTTCCTATCAATATACATAACAAAAGAATTAAGACACAATTGAAAAAGAAAAACATTATTGATGCTTAAGTAATCACTTGATAAATAAATTATTAAACACATTTCAAACGGAAACATCCATCGATATTGGACTGGTCCAACAAGCTTGGCTTCTTTAGCAAGGTGAACCATTAAGTGTGCCTGATTCGCACTTTTTAGTGATCAGATTAATATTATATACCCAAGTATAAGTGGTCGAATTGCAGTTTTCTCAATTTTTAAGTCCAAGTTTCGATCCCATGAAGAGTTTTAATAATTTGGAAATGAAATAAAATAGTTAAGTTGCTAATTCGAATATGACAGCATGTGATAGCTTGTGATGTGAGCTTAGATTGATAACTAGTCTAAGTAAACAATTATGTGTAGATAGATTAAGACAATAATAAAAAGTATCCTTCAGTTCAAGGATCCCATACGCGTTATATTGGTTAAATACTGGAAATGCTACCATACAACAATCAACTTCCATGTTACTAGTAAGTCAGTTGGTAGGTCTGATGTATATAAATCATCACACAACAACTTCTTAGGTTTGCTGGTGGTATCCATGACAACTGATTAATCCAA